CCGCGCTCTGAACCACCCATGCCACCCACCGCCGCGTGTCTGTGAGCCTAACAGGGGCCTAACCGACATGGACTCGCCCGGCGGACTCCCGCCCGCCAGTCTGTCTGCCTTAATCTTGGGCCACTGCGCTGAGCGGTGCTGAGGGCCTGGCCGCGGCCTCATCCAGAAAATTGGAAGCCTGTAACAGTCATCGTATGTTTGACAAGGGACAACCATCAACATTGTGGGCCCGGCAAGGCTCGCACAGTTGTGGCAACTCAACTGCAAGCACAACCTACGTGCTTGGTCTACTTCTTCGAGTGTTGGTTTAACTATTTCTTTTTTGGTGGTCCCTTTTATGCCAATGCCATACCGTATGGTACCTGCTGTAGATCATCTTTTTTCTGGGTACTGGTCTTGTGCTGGCTGTGTGTGTAGTAGCGTGTTCGCAGTGTAGATCACGTTGGGTACACCGTGCAAATTGGATACCCTCCGTACCACACTACACTATTGTTTTCCTGCACTACGCGTTAAACAGCTGTTATTACTGAAATTGAAAACGGAACCACTAGTCACACACCCCGCCATGCAATACCCCACCCTGACATACCCCCGGTCCCCGTGCCCCGCGCCTGAGTCCTCGCCTGGCTCGGCTAGACTCTTCCTCCCGCCTCTGTCCTGGCCATGGTCCAAACGTTGCAATCCGTCCGGTGGAGGGCGGCAAAGAACATCGTAAGGCATCGCCCGACGGCGCTTTCGCGGCGGCACTCCGGGCGGCACTCCCGGCACACTCGCTCCTGAACTCTTTCGCCCTTTTCCGGGCGTCTCTCTCTCTCCCTCCCCCTCTCTCTCTCTTCCCCTCTGTCTCCCCCCTCTCTCTCTACCCCTCTCTATTTCTCCTCCTGCCTTTTCCTATCGATGCTCCTTCATTACCTAGCCTGTTTTCTAAACCCCAACCCAATTCATCCACCTTTCTCTTTCTTTGTTGCAGGCGGTGGGCGCCGCCGACTGCGGCTGCAACAAGGCATACACAGTAAGTACTAAAATTGGAAATTGAACTGGCGCTAAACTAAAAAATAACCGCTCGCGAATTGAAAGAATATTGCCCCGTACCCTGCTTGCCTTTAGTCAGGAATCCACAAATTTTGTGCGATTACGGATGACTAAAATTGGAGCAAATTCCCCCTTTTTTCCCTAGTTTACTCATATTGCAGTCACGTGTTCACCCCCATTTCCTTAAGTACGCACAGCTTCTGGAGAATTGTATACTGTACTAGCGTACATGGACAAATAGTAAATGAGAAGGGACAATTTTGGGACCTAGGTTAGATGTGTCCTTTGTGCACATTTTAAACTGATACGAATTTATCTAGGAGGTGCAATTTGTATCTATTGAGATGTGCACAAAGACAGCCTGCCTACAAAAATTGTCCCTTGCCATATAGTGTGCAAATCAAACATAAATACCGAAAATAAAATCGAACATTTCTGTTCACTCCTTATCAATACTGGGTATTAATAAATGTAAAACCTCTGTATTCCACACTGTTCTGTCAAGCTTTTAGTTTGCCATTTGCTGTGAGTGTTTGTTTAGCCCAAGAGAGTATACAAACTCACAACACTGATTGGTATGTCATGTCTGATAGCCCGGCATTCTAAAATAATTATATCGAAATACATAGTGGTATACTTGTTACTGACTTGGTACGTATAAATGTTTGTACTATGTCTCTTCCAAATCGAGCAATGTTTGGATTATGGATAAAATCGCCAGGAATTGAGAGTGTATCTCATGCTCAAAATGCACTTTTCCCATAGCCTCAC